TAGTCATATTTAATAAGAAAGTGAACAACAATCCCAAATTTAAAGTTTTGAAGGACAAAGTTAAACTCCTGAAATAAGAGTTGCATACTTTTCATAACCTTTGCATTTTAATCTTGCAGACTTAAGTCAGATTTGTCTGTCAGTTGTACAAATACCATGCATTGGTCTCAATTTAAATTCTGTATGAGAGAGCAGAATTTAACTTTTAAGACTGGATTTTTCCTCTTTTTTCTAGATATATCACAGGACATTTTCAGATATTTTATTTTTTGATTTTATGGAAAATGTATATTTTTGGTACAAGTTTTAAGAGGCATTGAAAATTATTGCTGCCTACTGTATTAAAATTCCTCCAGTAATGGATATAATTTATAAGTATGAATGTTTATCAGGACCTGGATTGTGTGGATTTTTGCAGAAACTATTGTAAGACAAAATAGGATTTTCATATTCAAAAACACACCATGGAATAAATGTTTTATTGTGCTAAAATTCAAAATGGTATGACTGATAGCCCCTTTAAGCACCGTAGCTGGTATATGCAGGCTTTAGTAACCTGTTAATTTTGTGTTGTAAAATGCACAATTAAAGTGTCTGTCAAAGTGTGTGTATGTAATATTGCACATTCAGTGAAAATCTGAAGACTGAGTTACCTGTATATGCATAACTACTGAACGTTTTAACTAGTAATGCAACTGACTTCAGTATAAGTGGTCACATAGACTAAAAATTGACAGATGAAATAAGTTAGTTTCAAACACCACCTTAAATGTAATAGATATTGCCACTGATCATATAATAAATACACAAATTATACAAAATTTGAAGAGGCTGTTACATTGCAGTCACTGAAACAATTTAGGCAGGCCAATCTTACACATTTACAAGAGATAGAGTTTCCTGGGGAAAGTTACTTGAAGTTTATAGGATTTTATTCAAATGCAAAGTAATTCCAGATAGGGAGTTTCCTACCATGAGATAATCTGTTAAAAACAGTCGTAGAAAGCTGGTGAAAATTTCTTGCAGCAGATAGCGTGGTGTTTTGCAAATTATCATAGTGATTTCAGGCAGATACACTTTTATAAAACTCCATAATATCTGAATTTATAGAATTATTGAATATATTAAAAGTATAAATATATGATAACAGTGGGTCCAGTTTTCTTGAGTACCTATTTGTTTATTATATAAGTTGTAATAAAGATATTGAAGACATCTTAATTTTATAAGTGTTTGTTGTTAATTCATGGAAATGGCTTTAGAGATAAATAAAATCAAATTTACTTACAAACATGGAGAAATTTCAAATAAGTTGTTTGAACACGTTTCAAAAGCTTAGATTTTTTTTTTTTGTTTGCTTTTAATTTAGGAAAGTACATACAAGTCCTTGTTAGTGAAACCGATATTAGTACAGTGCTTTTTATCTTTTCACTGTTACATTAAGATCGTAAATAGTTTTGTTCCAGTAATTTACAGTGTTGTTTAGAATTCAGTCCAAATTAGGCCATTCTTTTCTACTGTTGTTGACCACAACACATGGTTGACACGTGTAGAAACTATATTTGCTCAACTCTTGCTGACGATATCCGAAGTTCTTGTGACGCAGCAGCAGTTGCGGGTGCAGTCAGCAGCTGCTACAGTTGAGGCGGCTAATCCTGTGCTGGTCCTCCCCCCAGACGCTAGGATCTGACCTCTCTTTTAGTCCTACACTTCAAAACGCTGGTCCTGCATCCACAGGCCAGGATCACCTTCCAGCTCTGCCCCGCTCTCAGCAGCCTGCTGGTCCCAGCCACCTGGTTGTGGGTGCATCTCGCAGCTGGGGCCAGTTCCCGAGCAGGGCAGCAGAAGCGCTCTGCCCAGTGCGTTGTGGAGTGGCACTAGGGCCATGCCACTGTTGGCAGCTGGCATTACCCGCACGATTTTTTTTTAATAAAGGCCGACTGTTGACATGCTCATGAACTCATCAGCTGATTTTTTTTTTTCCTTTTTCAAACTGGTAAGGGCAGTTTGAGTTGTTTATGCTATGCACTTAAATATTCACAGTTGCAAGTTATCTTTCACAGCTTGGGAGAATAGCAGTTTCTGCTCATAAAAAGCATCAGCATTTCCTAATCCACAGACAAAAAAAGATGATCTCTATCAGATGAAACACTAAGAATCTAAAAGAACCTCTGAAGTTGTGCAACAGTTCTTTTTATTCAGTCCAACAGATAACCAGATACGTGGTTCCTGCCATTGCCGAGTTCTGGTGTCTGATGCTCAGGGTTTACTTCAGCAATCTGAATAAAGTGAAGCAGCAGACTACATGTTCAGAAACACCATGTATCAGTTTAAAGCTGAAAATACAGCTGAATACGGTATCAAATCAACAGTATCCAGATCTAACTAGGACATTTTTTCCTGCAGTAACTGTTGTATTGTCAATGGTTCAAACACCTGATTACCCCATGCATTGCCATGCTTGTGCTGGTAGTGCCTACGCTGGGTAGTAAACGTGACTTTTGCACCTTATCCTTCCCCAGTTGGTGTAAAGGGCAAAGCAGCACCAGCTGCCATTCAGTTTTTTCCTAATGATTTGGCAGACATGGATCAAATTAATGTCTATTGATGGTCACTAATGGGAGTCTGCTGAGAATAAATTCTGTTATAATTACAATAGTATTGCCTCATTATACATTATTCTAGTAGTACTACCTTTTCCTAGTCTGTTGGCAAAAAGAAGGGACAGGCTTTGTAGGTATGTTTTTCTTTCTAAAAGTTCCTGGAAGTACTGTAGTATGGTAGATGAGCCTAGGCCTCTAATTACTGATGACTTCAAGTGCTAATGAAGCCCGTGCGTAGTCACATTGACATCCAACTCTCCAGTTAAAAAAAAAATCCAAACTGACCTCTCTGTTATTTCATTAGACAATTAATAGATTCCTCAGAGGACTGAAATTGGCTTTTCCACTTACAACAGATTGGAGCTTTAATTTAATCCTTGCAACTAATGATGTCTCCATCAAATTGAAGTTACCCTGTTCTTTAAAACTACCAATTTAGTGGTAATTGTTTCAGAGGGAGGCATAATCCCTTGCAGATCATTCAGAATATTTTTTGAAGACAGAAAACCAGTAAGACCTATCTAATTTCTATTTGATTATTAATTACCATTTTTTAGCAGTGTTTTTTTTAAATCCCATGGATCTGTTACAATGAAGTTAAGTGCCTTGGATGCTCTTTTGGTTTTAAGTGGGGGGTAAGGTGTACAACCTTAAGATTTACCAGATGCAAGAGGCCAACAGTACCAATTTACCTGATTGCACTCAGAGAGCATGTAATGTTTAAAAATTATTATTCTAGACAGTAAAGGAGAACACACAGAGGAAGGCACAACCTACAGCTGTAATGCGGAAACGTGCTGAGCACCTGCTTGTAGTTTAATATGTTCATGAAGCATTATTATCTGATCCCAACTTCTAGGTCAGATGATTAATTTGATTGAACAGCTCATCATGTGAGTGCCTTTGGGGTCCGTCACCTTCCAAAACAAATGACAGGACTGACATCCATCCATCTGTGCATGCATATATTTGAAGAAGGGAGATCTAGCTCACTGTAATTGCAGTGGTTCTGATCGCATGACTGCCATCCTTCCCTTTTGCTCTTTGATCATCAAAATTGACTACTGCAAGTAGATTCCTTTGATGCTGAGTTTGATGCCCACAGAAATTTAGCTGACATGATCCACAACTGATGTTTTAAATGCATTTGACAACAGGCACATAATGAACCAGAGAGTTCGTCATCTTTGATCTACGTTGTCAGCAGCAAAGTCAATTGATTAGGGTTATGCACGGACAGGAAAGTTGTGGGTGCCTTCATCAAGCACACTGCTGACCTGCTCAAAAATACATATAGAGCAGAATATTTAAAAGAATGCCATGACAATACTAAGTAGTCCTTTATTTTATCCTTTATATGACAGAACAGCCATGGTACTGAAGTTTCTTTTAACAGCATGCCAGTGTAGTGGGTTTGTGTTGCCATAGAGGATTTTATCTACTGAACCACTGGGTTCACTTCTTGTAGCATTTGTCCATGAAGCCATCAAAATCACGTTTGAGTAATGAGTTCAGCTGTGTACATGGGGAGATTCAGCAAAATCTAGCACATACTGCAGTCATATCATAAAGACAATTCCAAAACAAACCCAACAGCAAACCAGCAACTGGTTTGCACACATCTGTTGCAAACCCTCAAAATCACAATGACAGGCTTACAATATTTGCATATTTTACTCTGATATCTTTCTAACAGATCTTACCTTTTGGTACATGAGTTGCTGTGCAGTTCAGATAACATCAATATTATGCAGGTCATTAAAATAAGACTTAAGTGTTTGAACATTAAACAAACAAAAAACTGATGACCTGCAGCACCTCTTCAAATTCTTTATATCAGGTGTTTTTAAAGCATCATCACCTTTGCCACTATTTTTTTTCTGTGCTTTCAGTACAAAGGCAATGTTGATTAATGTTGATTCTGCAGCGTGGCAGAATCATGCAGCTGATGGACATGCACCTTTTGTTGTGTTTTCTTCACTTGCAATCAGCCAACAGTAATACTCAGAAAGGGACTTTATTATGTTGTAGCTGCCAATCTAGATTCTAAGGAGAAGAGAGGGAGCCCTTCCAAACTTTTGCAGAGGTGGAAGTTACTGTAAAACATGCAACTTAAAAAAAAGGGCATAAGGTAGCACAAGCGCAAATTCTATTTTGTGCATTTCCTACTTTAGTTGTATGAATGCATACCACTGAAGCGAGTTTTAATATAGTTTGTACAGATAGATCTCAATAAATGAGAATATAAATACAGTTCTGATTTTACTAGCAAGAGTTGGGTATTTAAGTGTTACAGTGTGAAACACAGTCATAATAAATATTTATTTAAATATTTTGTAACTACATACTTTACACTTGTTCTAATACAGATAAAATTAATAACAACAGTTTTCCAGTATTCACTCTGTACTGTAATCACAGGTAATTTGTTATAACATGGGTCAGGGTACTGAAAAATTAGTGCAAAAGAATGCTTGTATAAAGCTTCACTTAGCATTTTGGAATGGATATAATAAAATATGCCTTATTGTTAAAATTTCCCTTTTTAATATACTGTTTTGGAAATTGAGTGTCTTGGTGGCAGGGAAGGAAAAATAAATGTAAATTAGAAAACTGTTTAAAGCTAGTGGCTTGCTTTATAAGTACAGCATAAGCATTTAAGCAGGGAATTTAACCACTGAAAGAAAAAAGCTTCAAAAGACAGCTACTTATTTGTTGTGCTTAGCCCTCCAGTGTACTGGTGCATTAGAGTAGTTCATTCTTCTTTCTTCCAGTGAAAACTGATCCTCCCACCTGGTGCTATAATCCGATTGCATCAGTACAATGTAGTCAGACCCCAACATGAGTAGCGGCTTATAGATGATGACCACAGGATACAGAGACCCAATACATGACTTCATCTGGAAACTTTTAAAGCTGTAACGCTCACCCTTATTAAGGAAATAAGAGAGTGAAAATTAAACTTTTTGTGTGAGATAAGCAAAAAAGGGCATATTGTTCTATACATTGAGCTGTATCACAGGTTACAAGGTATTTCAGTCCATAAATTCAACATTTACCCCTTTCTTCTCCCAGTTTAGCCTTTAAGAAAAAACAAGAATAAGTCCTCTAAGTTTCTTTTCTGCTCTCTCAGCCAAGAAAAGCAGCAGATTACGTTTCCCATTAGTACTTTTACGGAAGTGTTACTTTATATTGAATTATAAATTTCATTTGGGCTACAGTAAGTTTTAGCAGTAACTTTTCTTTAAACTTGTTAAGATACAAGTCCTTTTGCACCTGTAACCTACCACTTTTCTTCGCATTTGTTGGGATATAATTCCTTTTGCAGCTGAATCCTCATGCTTTTATGCTCTCACAGGGTAAGGGCTGGAAAACCTTCAAGCTTTTTGCTTAGCTTGGACGTTTTTTCTGCAAGACTGCAGATCACAAAACAATCCTTTCTCAAACATATCTTCATCTTATTTTTTATTTATCCTTCCATTTAAAATTTGTTCTAGAAGACTTAGAATTATCCAGTCTTCAAACAGAGACTGTGTTTTGCCCTTCTCATTAGATCTTTTGTACAGAAACTGCCCTTGCTACTCAACTCTATATGTGAGTTACAGCAAAAGCAAAATAAACTGACTTCCTACAGAAGTAGTTTTATAGCTCCTGAAATGACTTGAAAGTAACAGAAACACAAAAATTGTGTCTCTGTATTCCCACCCACTACTATTCTCAAACTTCTAGGTGGAATGTGTTAGTACTAAATTCGCATCAAAATCCTAATTGAGGCCTGATTACAGTCAAGCTCAACTCACATATATTTGTTTTATTAGAAAAAAAGTGCTTTTAAACATACTGAGATCTTCCTCTCAGGTAGCATGAAATCCATCTGAAAGTATTCAAGTCACTACATCTCATTTAGGTGACAAACTGAATGAAAAATAACACCAGAATTCTGCCTGCATTGCAGGTGGCTCAAAACACGGGATTCTTACAATTTTGTTCTGTTCTTTGCAGTAGCCATGTAATGAACTCCAGCCATTAATGTATAAATACAAAGCACGAAGTGCACTTTTACACATTTGATTTTCTGCCCTTCTGCTGACTCTTGATGATGAGAAGGAATTCAAGGAGGAATACACAGCTATTGGCACTGTATAGTACCCATACATGACAAAGGCTAATGGTTTTCATGGGTGAGATAGGACCAGAATTTTCTCCTAGACTTTGCTTTCTTACCATTAAAGCAAGTGCTTCACTTAGAAACCAATACGTTGTGATTGCACTTCTAAATCAATTGCTAGTATAAAAGCTTTTACTGAATTGTACAGACATTTCTTACATTTAGAGTGTTGTACTGATTTTTTTTTTCCATCTATCCATTCTATCATTTACTGTAAGACATTTTATGGACTGTTTGTTCCTACAATTTCCTTGACTTACACCATGAAATATTTTTCCACTTCTCTTCTTGCTGTTACAGTTCTGTCTCACCTATAATACCTTTGAAAGTTCAGCCTTTTTTATGAATTTTCAGAACTCAACTGGTTTCAGAAGTTAGCACTGGATAAGTTTTCTAGAGAAGAAAATATATGAACGCAGTCTATGCTCTTAAAGACCTGTTCATGTTAAGCAGATTAGCCAGTTGTAACAGGAATTGTACAACTATCCTCCAGCTAAAATTTCAAATTCAGGTATTGCTGAACTTAGCTTCATACCAGCAAGCATCTTTCTTCCTTTCTGTCTCTGAAAGTATAGTATAGTACTCTGCCAGTGTTCTCTCTAACTCTGCTGTCCAATTACAATACCAGATCAAAATATATGGAAAATTGACCCTACAGGATACATACGTATTGGACTGTAAAGGACAACAGTAAAGAAAACCTGCTTAAAAACCTGAATGAAGTGTGTAAGAGCTTTGTTTCATGTTTTTCAGGACTCCACAGAGAAACTTCTCTAGGCAAACAGCATGAGCTGAACTCCACACTACCTACATCCGTGAGATGTTCCTGTGCTGAACACATTATGGAAGTCATCTGTACTTTCCAGTCTTGTTAACAGTGAGGTGCCCTGTTTCATTACAGCAGTCCAGTCACAGGCAGTGGGCACACTAGACCATCTCCAAAACAGTAGTTAGTATGCTACCACAGCCTAAAAACATGCTAACCTCTATCAATACAGAAACAAAATGTCTCACCTAAAGACAGCAATACTCTGGTAGAGCAAGTGTTCAATGAATAATAAACTTGAATGCCCATTCCCTCAGTTGAGTCTTTCCTGTGTGAATTAGATTCGTGATCTTCATTATTATAAAAAAAACACCAAACCCCCCCCCCCCCCCCCCCCCCCCCAAATCTTTAGGATGTTCCTAAATGCTCCAAGTATAAAATTCTTGTCCTATTGTTACAGATGCATGGTTGCACAGACTTTTTCCTCAGTGAAGAAATCAGTTTCAGTAATTCCCAGGTGTTCCCTTTCCCACCCTCCCACATCTGGCCATTTGTCTTTGCCTCTCCGCCACTTCTGAAGGCTTTTAAAACCAGATCAAATCCTCAACCTGAGAGGTATTATATAGCACCATTGGGGACTGAGTAGTCAAGAACAATTACAGATGGAGCATTGCTGCCAAATGCTTTGTATCATTAAACTGTAGTCGTAGGAAAACATTTTCAGAGTCACTGTACTCCCTAAGAAAGTATGCATAGTTAAGTGAAACTAAACTCAAGAAATTGTTTAGGAGAGCAGAAGATTTACGTCACAACTTGTAGAAGAATGGTTTACCCAGAGTTATTCAATGGGTTTTGTTTACATGTTTGAAGATCCAAGCTAGAATTAACAGTCTTCTCATTTTCTAGCCTTAATGCTGATCATAGCAAAAGGCAAGAGTCAAGCACTGAAGCTATTTAACATTCTTAATCAGGACAACTGAGGGTGTTGCAATGGTCTTCTATCAAATAGATACTTCAAATTAATGTTCTGGACCAGCTACTTTTCTGTAATTTGCAGACACCTTTCAAGGCGAAGAATAACATACCTAGATAAATCAGATGACATTATTTGGTGTGTTCTTTTTCTGTGCTCTTAGGTGCCCTCTTCACCTTTTTAACTGCCTTTATATCTTCAGCTTTCTTTTGCTTCATGAAGTTCAAATGCTTGCATGCTTATATATAGTGCATTCTTGGTATCAAACACACTATTATATGTATTGTTTCATTTCTAAAGGTCAATTTAGGGCTGCACTGTAATTTAATCCTTACATGAGAATTCAACTTGAGTTCAATAGTTTGTATATGTACCACATTGAGTCTATTGAGTTTTAACCTTCAGCTGTTTTTCAGATCTGCATTCAGTTATTCACACCAAGTGCTTTTAAGTCCTTTGCTGTTTTTTTTTTCCATTGTACTGAATTTAAAATAATTAAAAGAATGCTAGATAAAAGCAAGAGAACTGTAGTACTATTTGAAGGCTTTTTTCTTACCTAGATAAGATAGACAATGTATTTACTTTTTCACTCAGTGTAAGAGAGGATATGCAATGCTTTACTCCAAGAACAATGTTCCAGAAGGACTGAGAGTCTCTATCCATGCAATCCTTTTACTCATGATAGTAGAACATAACCAGCAGATTACTACTCACTTTATTACTACTCTGTTAATGAACAGAAAGCATGGAGTATATTGCACAATCATTCCTCAAAATTAAGAATATGCCCACGCTGTATCCAACCTCCTTCAGCTAAAATGAACATGGGAAGAGAGGAGCCAGCCCCACTTAGATAAGAAAAAATCCAACTGGGTCTTTGTGAACAGATTAACATCTAGGCTAATTTAGCTATTGACTTCTGTAATGGGGAAAAAGTTACAAATATTTGCTAGAATACTAAAAAATTAATTTGACTTTCTAAAAGTGAGAATGTAACTGAGAAATTTAATTAGAAGTCTATATGTACCAAAGAATGTAAAAAGCTACCACTTGTGTGTCGTTATCTGTAAATCAACATACAACTAATCAGTATATAGCAAATGCTCAGCAAGCAACAAGAGAATGAATTTCAAAATATCAAACTAGATTGAAAAATTCAGCATTCACTTATAACTGCAAAACCTGAATATTTAAAAACATTCAAATAACTTACAAAGCATTCTTTTCTATTTAAGAGAAAATAATGTGAAGCGGTTGAAGTTGGTTTCCAAAAAACGTGGGAAGAATTCATATTATGTGAGAGACCAGGAATACAGTTAACAAAAAAATTGCTGCAAACTCTACCCTTTGTACATTTCCTTCACAGAATCTTCAAATTCACAAATTTCTTCCACAGTCTGTTAATTAAATTTATCAGATCAAATTCCACATTTTAAAATACTTCCTAACATTTATGCAGGGATTCTTAAACTTTTACTTGCAAGAATTATTATCCGTAACAGGCCTGTTGCCTAGATGCTTTCTTAATTGCATTGTTCACTTTGTAACAGTCTCAGTTCAGCTCCTGATTGCTATCTACTCTTTAACAGATTAATAATTTCTGAATCAGAGAAGCTCTGTGAAAAGATCACAGAAAACATCTCAGCTCTACAAACACTGAACATGAGCGGTCTCGGTTAAGGTCAATAGTGAGTCAGGGAAGGGAAGCTCTTATTTCAAGCTCTTTGCACAATATCTACCTGTAGGTAAACAGGAGCCTTCAGTTTAACAACACTAACAGATCTTAACCTTTTCAAGCATACATATTTATTTAATTGATACATTTAAACCAAATCTATCTCCTATGAATAGCTTTTGCAAAGAAAGTACACGAAGATTTCCTTTGTTTCTTATTTGATTCACTAGCATGAAAGTGAAGGCTGAGGTAATCGCCTCACTCAAAGGATATAAAACAAAGAAACCTCTATCTCACTGCTAAGAAAGCAGAGCTCAGAGGCTCCCACGAGCTGTTAACTTCAAAATATTCAACCAAACTAAAAAAAATAATTACTGTACTCACTAAGGACCATGATGTGGTTGGTCCTTATGTGAGGCATGTTCTAAGGCTGGAAAAACAATTTCTACTCACCATGACATGGCTTACATGGATTTCAGATGTAAATGAAGGTCCAGCTTTCTCCAGAGGGAAAAAAAAAAAAAAAAAGTTTAATTCTTTTATCTTTTAGGCTGAATTCACTCAAAACTCAATACACAGTAATAAAGAATAACCAGAACTTTTACTTCTCTTGTCACTAGAGTCTCACTCATCTATAAAACAGATAATAGGACAGCAAGGAAAATATAGTAATTTTTTTCCTGGTAAATTACTGTTAGCAGTCCCTTTGCTGAAAAGGTAACATCTCCAGGTAAATTGTACAACACAGGGTATCTACATATCAGGTTACTTAACAAATGAAGAGACAGTGCTATTTTTCTTCTAACTGTACAGATTAAGTCAAATTCTCCATTACTTTAGTACCTACAATTCAAACCAAATGTAAGAAAAAGTTAATATGTTGAAAAAGTCTTATGTACTTTCAAGGTTCATCATTACACTACTTGAACTGATGTAAGTCTACTGAGTTAAATCTGATATAACACTCTACGAATTAGGTTATCTATGCAGAGGATCTATTATTTTATTAATACATCCCAGGTTTTTTCCACTCATTTCAAAGGACATTTGACAAGGTCATTAGTTACGCAACAGGTTTAGTAGTACTGCTTAAAAACAGTGCAGGTCAGAGCAAGTCTAGCTTGTACCCTAGTTTCTACTGTCAGTTTCTACCCTTAGGATAGCCTGACATTTTTTAAGGTTTACTGATAAAATATATAATTATTTATCCATAGCCTGCATTCCATTCTTTTTGTTTTTCCTGTTTTCTCAACATGAAACTATGGAGGAAGAATCTGCAAGGCTTTTATGTTGATAAATGCCACACAATATGCAAAGAATGCACATGGTAAGTGAAAATTAGACATATTTCTCACACTGTTTTCATTTGCAACATGAAACAATTGTTTGCCTTCTAAAAAGTATCATCAAGTTATTAAACATTTGGGTTTTGAACTTTATATACAGCTAGAAAGGCTATAAAATTTTGGCAAGTAAAATCCATGTACTGATTTTTTTTTTCTTCGATCTACTTTACAATAATCTGAGCTTTTATTGAATATTTAAATACACTGTAAAGAAAAGCTATCCACAACAGGTGCCATATTGGCCTGTTACTTCCATACTGTAGTCAGTGGGATTTTTGCCTTCGGAATGTTATGCCATACATGACTTTGTCTAAGAAAACACAGAATTTCTAAGTACCACACATATCATCTAATCAGCCTACTACATCATTACTATTAGCAATAAATTTCAGTTTTCAAAGCTACGTTATTCAATGAACACACCCCAAAAGATACAGTACGTATATTCACAGTATTCGTGTAACAACCAGATCTAAGATTAATCTGTCAATACAATTCAGTAGTTTTGAGTTTGTCCATGTGAATAAACAAAGCAGTAGTAATCTACTAAATTTCAAGGTTTTGTTCACAAAAACATGCTGATGTGACTTTGTATCTAGCTATGCAGAATTCGGCTGCAGAACCAAAAGATTATTTCTATAATTATACATTATTTATTTTTACCTTGTCTTATAACCATGGTTATTCTTTTCAGTTACGAGGAGCAGTATCCAGTATTACAGGATTCCTATGGCTCTTGAAACCTCTCAGAGCTTTGTATGTGACTGTTACACCTAAACCACTGCCCTCTGTCACGAAAACTTCAGAATTTTCCAATATCTGTCCTTGAAAGCATCTGGTTTGCAAAATGCTATGAGCAAAATCTTTATATGCACCCAGTTTTTCCCTGTGTTTTAATAACTTTGACAGACCAGTCCTCACTGTGGCACTGGGATTTACACTGCGCTGTTCACACCCTCCCGCGGGGACTGGTGCCATTTACCACACTCGATTCACAGGATATTCCTGGGCCACTCACGGGGCCGTCACTCGCTCTGGCGGTGCTACGGCCACGGGCTTGGCGAGGCTACGGCCGGCGGCGGCGGCTCCGCACCCGGGGGCAGCCCGCCCGCCCGCCGCGGCCCACAGC